TCTACATCATCCTGCCCCATTCTCCCTCTTTCCATCACCCCGCCCCATTCTCCCGCTTTCCATCACCCCGCCCCATTCTCCCGCTTTCCATCACCCTGCCCCATTCTCCCGCTTTCCATCACCCCGCCCCATTCTCCCGCTTTCCACCACCCTGCACCATTCTCCCGCTTTCCATCACCCCGCCCCATTCTCCCTCTTTCCATCACCCCGCCCCATTCTCCCGCTTTCCATCACCCCGCCCCATTCTCCCGCTTTCCATCACATGGGCCTAGTGTCTGCAAAATTGCAAGAACAAGGGCCTAGCGTGTGCAAAATTGCAAGAACAAGGGCCTAGCGTCTGCAAAATTTCAAGAACAAGGGCCTAGCATCTGCAAAATTGCAAGAACAAGGGCCTAGCGAGTGCAAAAATACAAGAACAAGGGCCTAGCGTCTGCAAAACTGCAAGAACAAGGGCCTAGCGTCTGCAAAATTGCAAGAACAAGGGCCTAGCGAGTGCAAAAATTCAAGAACAAGGACCTAGCGTGTGCAAAATTGCAAGAACAAGGGCCTAGCGTATGCAAAATTGCAAGAACAAGGGCCTAGCGTGTGCAAAATAGCAAGAACAAGGGCCTAGCGTCTGCAAAATTGCAAGAACAAGGGCCTAGCGTGTGCAAAATTGCAAGAACAAGGGCCTAGCGTGTGCAAAATAGCAAGAACCAGGGCATAGAGTGTGCAAAAATGTAAAAACAAGGGCCTAGCGAGTGCAAAATTGCAAGAACAAGGGCCTAGCGTGTGCAAAATAGCAAGAACAAGGGCCTAGCGTCTGTAAAATTGCAAGAACAAGGGCATAGCGTGTGCAAAATTGCAAGAACAAGGGCATAGCGTGTGCAAAATTGCAAGAACAAGGGCCTAACGTCTGCAAAAATTCAAGAACAAGAGCCTAGCGTCTGCAAAATTGCAAGAACAAGGGCCTAGCGTGTGCAAAATTGCAAGAACTAGGGCCTAGCATGTGGAAAATTGCAAGAACAAGGGCCTAGCGAGTGCAAAATTGCAAGAACAAGGGCCTAGCGTGTGCAAAATAGCAAGAACAAGGGCCTAGCGTCTGCAAAATTGCAAGAACAAGGGCCTAGCGTGTGCAAAATTGCAAGAATTAGGGCCAAGCTTTTGCAAAATTGCAAGAACAAGGGCCTAGCGTGTGCAAAATTGCAAGAACAAGGGCCTAGAGTGTGCAAAATTGCAAGAACAAGGGCCTAGCGAGTGCAAAATTGCAAGAACAAGGGCCTAGCGTATGCAAAATAGCAAGAACAAGGGCCTAGCGTGTGCAAAATTGCAAGAACAAGGGCTTAGCGTGTGCAAAAGGCAAGAACAAGGGCCTAGCGTATGCAAAATAGCAAGAACAAGGGCCTAGCGTCTGCAAAATTGCAAGAACAGGGGCCTAGCGTGTGCAAAATTGCAAGAACAAGGGCCTAGCGTGTGCAAAATAGCAAGAACAAGGGCCTAGCATGTGCAAAAATTCAAGAACAAGGGCCTAGCGTCTGCAAAATTGCAAGAACAAGGGCCTAGCGTGTGCAAAATTGCAAGAACAAGGGCCTAGCATCTGCAAAAATTCAAGAACAAGGGCCTAGCGTCTGCAAAAATTCAAGAACAAGGGCCTAGGGTCTGCAAAAATTGCAAGAACAAGGGCCAAGCGTCTGCAAAATTGCAAGAACAAGGGCCTAGTGTCTGCAAAAATTCAAGAACAAGGGCCTAGCGTCTGAAAATTTTCAAGAACAAGGGCCTAGCGTCTGCAAAATTGCAAGAACAAGGGCCTAGCGTATGCAAAATTGCAAGAACAAGGGCCTAGCGTCTGCAAAATTGCAAGAACAAGGGCCTAGAGAGTGCAAAAAATCAAGAACAAGGGCCTAGCGTCTGCAAATTTGCAAGAACAAGGGCCTAGCGTCTGCAAAATTGCAAGAACAAGGGCCTAGAGTGTGCAAATTTGCAAGAACAAGGGCCTAGCGAGTACAAAAATTCAAGAACAAGGGCCTAGCGTGTGCAAAATAGCAAGAACAAGGGCCTAGCGTGTGCAAAAATTCAAGAACAAGGGCCTAGCGTCTGCAAATTGCAAGAATAAGGGCCTAGAGTGTGCAAAATTGCAAGAACAAGGGCCTAGCATCTGCAAAAATTCAAGAACAAGGGCCTAGCGTCTGCAAAAAGGGCCTAGGATCTGCAAATATTGCAAGAACAAGGGCCTAGCGTCTGAAAAATTGCAAGAACAAGGGCCTAGTGTCTGCAAAAATTCAAGAGCAAGGGCCTAGCGTCTGCAATTTTTCAAGAACAAGGGCCTAGCGTCTACAAAAATTCAAGAACAAGGGTCTAGCGTCTGCAAAATTGCAAGAACAAGGGCCTAGCGTCTGCAAAAATTCAAGAACAAGGGCCTAGCATCTGCAAAAATTCAAGAACAAGGGCCTAGCGTATGCAAAAATTCAAGAACAAGGGCCTAGCGTCTGCAAATTTGCAAGAATAAAGGCCTAGCGTGTGTAAAATTGCAAAAATTCAAAAACAAGGGCCTAGCGAGTGCAAAATTGCAAGAACAAGGGCCTAGCGTGTGCAAAATAGCAAGAACAAGGGCCTAGCGTGTGCAAAATTGCAAGAACAAGGGCCTAGCGTGTGCAAAATAGCAAGAACAAGGGCCTAGCGTGTGCAAATTTGCAAGAACAAGGGCCTAGCGTCTGTAAAATTGCAAGAACAAGGGCCTAGCGTGTGCAAAATTGCAAGAACAAGGGCCTAGCAAGTGCAAAAGTTCAAGAACAAGGGTATAGCGTCTGCACAATTGCAAGAACAAGGGCCTAGCGTGTGCAAAATTGCAAGAACAAGGGCCTAGCGTCTGCAAAATTGCAAGAACAAGGGCCTAGCGCCTGCAAAATTGCAAGAACAAGGGCTTAGCGTCTGCAAAATTGCAAGAACAAGGGCATAGAGACTGCAAAAATTCAAAAACAAGGGCCTAGCGTCTGCAAATTTGCAAGAACAAGGGCCTAGCGTCTGCAAAATTGTAAGAACAAGGGCCTAGAGTGTGCAAAATTGCAAGAACAAGGGCCTAGCGAGTACAAAAATTCAAGAACAAGGGCCTAGCGTCTGCAAAATTGCAAGAACAAGGGCCTAGCGTGTGCAAAATTGCAAGATTAAGGGCCTAGCGTGTGCAAAATAGCAACAACAAGGGTCAAGGGCCTAGCGTGCCCAAAATAGCAAGAACAAGGGCCTAGCGTGTGCAAAACTGCAAGAACAAGGGCCTAGCGTGTGCAAAATAGCAAGAACAAGGGCCTAGCGTGTGCAAAATAGCAAGAACAAGGGCCTAGCGTCTGCAAAATTGAAAGAACAAGGGCCTAGCGTGTGCAAAATTGAAGAACAAGGACCTAGCGTGTGCAAAATAGCACGAACCAGGGCATAGTGTGTGCAAAATTGCAAGAACAAGGGCCTAGCGAGTGCAAAATTCCAAGAACAAGGGCCTAGCGTCTGCAAAAATTGCAAGAACAAGGGCCTAGCGTGTGCAAAATTGCAAGAACAAGGGCCTAGCGTGTGCAAAATTGCAAGAACAAGGGCCTAGCGTGTGCAAAATTGCAAGAACAAGGGCCTAGCGTCTGCAAAATTGCAAGAACAAGGGCCTAGCGTGTGCAAAATTGCAAGAACAAGGGCCTAGCGTCTGCAAAATTGTAAGAACAAGGGCCTAGCGAGTGCAAAATTGCAAGAACAAGGGCCTAGTGTGTGCAAAATTGCAAGAACAAGGGCCTAGGGTCTGCAAAATTGCAAGAACAAGGGCCTAGCGTGTGCAAAATTGCAAGAACAAGGGCCTAGCGTCTGCAAAATTGCAAGAACAAGGGCCTAGCGTGTGCAAAATTGCAAGAACAAGGGCCTAGCGTGTGCAAAATAGCAAGAACAAGGGCCTAGCGTGTGCAAAATTGCAAGAACAAGGGCCTAGCATGTGCAAAATTGCAAGAACAAGGGCCTAGCGTGTGCAAAAATGCAAGAACAAGGGCCTAGCATCTGCAAAATTGCAAGAACAAGGGCATAGCGTGTGCAAAATTGCAAGAACAAGGGCCTAGCGTGTGCAAAATTGCAAGAACAAGGGCCTAGCATCTGCAAAATTGCAAGAACAAGGGCCTAGCGTGTGCAAAATTGCAAGAACAAGGGCCTAGCGTGTGCAAAATTGCAAGAACAAGGGCCTAGCGTCTGCAAAATTGCGAGAACAAGGGCCTAGCGTGTGCAAAATTGCAAGAACAAGGGCCTAGCGTCTGCAAAATTGCAAGAACAAGGGCCTAGCGTGTGCAAAATTGCAAGAACAAGGGCCTAGCGTGTGCAAAATTGCAAGAACAAGGGCCTAGCGTCTGCAAAATTGCAAGAACAAGGGCCTAGCGTGTGGGGTCGACCCATTCTAGTTCTTGCTCCGGCGTTCGTACCAGTCCCCTATGACACTGGCTTCTTCGCCTTGCCTTCCTCTCCCGCTCCATCCGTCTCATGCGTCTCCTCGTGAGCGGTGTCGGAGCCCGTGACTCCCCTTGCCTACCGTGCTCGCCTCCCTTCGCGCCGTGCGTGCCGGCTCCTTCCTGAGCCGCTACGTTATTCTTCCCGTCGCCCTCATGCCCTCATGCCCTCATGCCCTCACGCCCTCACGCCCTCATGCCCTCACGCCCTCACGCCCTCATGCCCTCACGCCCTCACGCCCTCATGCCCTCACGCCCTCATGCCCTCATGCCCTCATGCCCTCATGCCCTCATGCTCTCCTACCCTTATGTACTCATGCACTCATGCCCTCATGCCCTCACGCCCTCACGCCCTCGTGCCCTCACGGCCTCATACCCTAATGCCCTCATGCCCTCATGCCCTCATCCCCTCATGCCCTCATGCCCTCATGCCCTCATGCCCTCATGCCCTCATGCCCTCACGCCCTCATGCCCTCACGCCCTCACGCCCTCATGCCCTCACGCCCTCATGCCCTCACGCCCTCATGCCCTCACGCCCTCATGCCCTCATCCCCTCATGCCCTCATGCCCTCATGCCCTCATGCCCTCATGCCCTCACGCCCTCATGCCCTCATGCCCTCACGCCCTTATGCCCTCATGCCCTCATGCCCTCATCCCCTCATGCCCTCATGCCCTCATGCCCTCATGCCCTCATGCCCTCACGCCCTCATGCCCTCATGCCCTCATGCCCTCATGCCCTCACGCCCTCACGCCCTCATGCCCTCACGCCATCATGCCCTCATGCCCTCATGCCCTCACGCCCTCACGCCCTCATGCCCTCACGCCCTCATGCCCTCACGCCCTCATGCCCTCACGCCCTCATGCCCTCATGCCCTCATGCCCTCATGCCCTCATGTACTCCTGCCCTCATGTACTCATGCACTCATGCACTCATGCCCTCATGCCCTCATGCACTCATGCCCTCATGCCCTCATGCCCTCACGCCCTCATGCCCTCATGCCCTCATGCCCTCATGCCCTCATGCCCTTATGCCCTCATGCCCTCATGCCCTCACGCCCTCATGCCCTCATGCCCTCATGCCCTCACGCCCTCATGCCCTCATGCCCTCACGCCCTCATGCCCTCATGCCCTCATGCCCTCATGCCCTCACGCCCTCATGCCCTCATGCCCTCATGCCCTCACGCCCTCATGCCCTCATGCCCTCACGCCCTCATGCCCTCATGCCCTCATGCCCTCATTTACTCCTGCCCTCATGTACTCATGCACTCATGCCCTCATGCCCTCATGCCCTCATGCACTCATGCCCTCATGCCCTCATGCCCTCACGCCCTCATGCCCTCATGCCCTCATGCCCTCATGCCCTCATGCCCTTATGCCCTCATGCCCTCACGCCCTCACGCCCTCATGCCCTCATGCCCTCATGCCCTCACGCCCTCATGCCCTCATGCCCTCACGCCCTCATGCCCTCATGCCCTCATGCCCTCATCCCCTCATGCCCTCATGCCCTTATGCCCTCATGCCCTCACGCCCTCATGCCCTCATGCCCTCATGCCCTCACGCCCTCATGCCCTCATGCCCTCATGCCCTCATGCCCTCATGCCCTCATGCCCTCATGCCCTCATGCCCTCATGCCCTCACGCCCTCATGCCCTCATGCCCTCATGCCCTCATGCCCTCACGCCCTCACGCCCTCATGCCCTCACGCCCTCATGCCCTCATGCCCTCATGCCCTCATGCCCTCATGCTCTCCTGCCCTCATGTACTCATGCACTCATGCACTCATGCCCTCATGCCCTCACGCCCTCATGCCCTCATGCCCTCACGCGCTCATACCCTGATGCCCTCATGCCCTCATCCCCTCATGCCTTCACGCACTCATGCCCTCATGCCCTCATGCCCTCATGCCCTCATGCCCTCATGCCCTCATGCTCTCATGCCCTCACGCCATCATGCCCTCATGCCCTCATGCAATCACGCCATCATGCCCTCATGCCCTCATGCCCTCATGCCCTCACGCCCTCATGCCCTCATGCCCTCACGCCCTCATGCCCTCATGCCCTCATGCCCTCTTGCCCTCATGCCCTCATGCTCCCATGCCCTCATGAGCTCATGCCCTCATGCACTCATGCCCTCACGCCATCATGCCCTCATGCCCTCATGCACTCATGCCCTCAAGCCCTCAAGCCTTTATGCCCTCATGCCCTCATGCCCTCATGCCCTTATGCCCTCATGCCCTCATGCCCTCACGCCCTCATGCCCTCATGCCCTCATGCCCTCATGCCCTCATGCCCTCATGCCCTCATGCCCTCACGCCCTCATGCCCTTATGCCCTCATGCCCTCATGCCCTCATGCCCTCACGCCATCATGCCCTCATGCCCTCATGCCCTCACGCCCTCACGCCCTCATGCCCTCACGCCCTCATGCCCTCACGCCCTCATGCCCTCACGCCCTCATGCCCTCATGCCCTCATGCCCTCATGCCCTCATGTACTCCTGCCCTCATGTACTCATGCACTCATGCACTCATGCCCTCATGCCCTCATGCACTCATGCCCTCATGCCCTCATGCCCTCACGCCCTCATGCCCTCATGCCCTCATGCCCTCATGCCCTCATGCCCTTATGCCCTCATGCCCTCACGCCCTCACGCCCTCATGCCCTCATGCCCTCATGCCCTCACGCCCTCATGCCCTCATGCCCTCACGCCCTCATGCCCTCATGCCCTCATGCCCTCATCCCCTCATGCCCTCATGCCCTTATGCCCTCATGCCCTCACGCCCTCATGCCCTCATGCCCTCATGCCCTCACGCCCTCATGCCCTCATGCCCTCATGCCCTCATGCCCTCATGCCCTCATGCCCTCATGCCCTCATGCCCTCATGCCCTCACGCCCTCATGCCCTCATGCCCTCATGCCCTCATGCCCTCACGCCCTCACGCCCTCATGCCCTCACGCCCTCATGCCCTCATGCTCTCATGCCCTCATGCCCTCATGCTCTCCTGCCCTCATGTACTCATGCACTCATGCACTCATGCCCTCATGCCCTCACGCCCTCATGCCCTCATGCCCTCACGCGCTCATACCCTGATGCCCTCATGCCCTCATGCCCTCATGCCCTCACACACTCATGCCCTCATGCCCTCATGCCCTCATGCCCTCATCCCCTCATGCCCTCATGCACTCATGCCCTCACGCCATCATGCCCTCATGCCCTCATGCAATCACGCCATCATGCCCTCATGCCCTCATGCCCTCATGCCCTCACGCCCTCATGCCCTCATGCCCTCACGCCCTCATGCCCTCATGCCCTCATGCCCTCATGCCCTCATGCCCTCATGCCCCCATGCCCTCATGAGCTCATGCCCTCATGCACTCATGCCCTCACGCCATCATGCCCTCATGCCCTCATGCACTCATGCCCTCAAGCCCTCAAGCCTTTATGCCCTCATGCCCTCATGCCCTCATGCCCTCATGCCCTCATGCCCTCATGCCCTCACGCCCTCATGCCCTCATGCCCTCATGCCCTCATGCCCTCATGCCCTCATGCCCTCATGCCCTCACGCCCTCATGCCCTTATGCCCTCATGCCCTCATGCCCTCATGCTCTCCTGCCCTCATGTACTCATGCACTCATGCACTCATGCACTCATGCCCTCATGCCCTCACGCCCTCATGCCCTCATGCCCTCACGCGCTCATACCCTGATGCCCTCATGCACTCATGCCCTCATGCCCTCATGCACTCATGCCCTCATGCCCTCATGCCCTCATGCCCTCATGCACTCATGCCCTCACGCCATCATGCCCTCATGCCCTCATGCAATCACGCCATCATGCCCTCATGCCCTCATGCCCTCATGCCCTCACGCCCTCATGCCCTCATGCCCTCACGCCATCATGCCCTCATGCCCTCATGCCCTCATGCCCTCACGCCCTCATGCCCTCATGCCCTCACGCCCTCATGCCCTCATGCCCTCATGCCCTCATGCCCTCATGCCCCCATGCCCTCATGAGCTCATGCCCTCATGCACTCATGCCCTCACGCCATCATGCCCTCATGCCCTCATGCACTCATGCCCTCAAGCCCTCAAGCCTTTATGCCCTCATGCCCTCATGCCCTCATGCCCTCATGCCCTCATGCCCTCATGCCCTCATCCCCTCATGCCCTCATGCCCTCATGCCCTCATGCCCTCATGCCCTCATGCCCTCACGCCCTCATGCCCTTATGCCCTCATGCCCTCATGCCCTCATGCCCTCACGCCCCCATGACCTCATGCCCTCACGCCCTGATGCCCTCATGCCCTCATAACCTCACGCCCTCATGCCCTCATGCCCTCATGCCCTCATCCTTTCATGCCCTCATGCCCTCATGCCCTCATGCCCTCATGCCCTCATGCCCTCACGCCATCATGCCCTCATGCCCTCATGCCCTCATCCCCTCATGCCCTCATGCCCTCATGCCTTCATGCCCTCATGCCCTCACGCCCTCACGCCCTCATGCCCTCACGCCCTCATGCCCTCACGCCCTCATGCCCTCATGCCCTCACGCCCTCATGCCCTCATGCCCTCATGCCCTCATGCCCTCATGCCCTCATGCACTCATGCCCTCATGAGCTCATGCCCTCATGCACTCATGCCCTCACGCCATCATGCCCTCATGCCCTCATGCCCTCATGCCCTCATGCCCTTATGCCCTCATGCCCTCATGCCCTCATGCCCTCACGCCCTCATGCCCTCATGCCCTCATGCCCTCACGCCCTCATGCCCTCATGCCCTCACGCCCTCACGCCCTCATGCCCTCACGCCCTCATGCCCTCATGCCCTCATGCCCTTATGCTTTCCTGCCCTCATGTACTCATGCACTCATGCACTCATGCCCTCATGCCCTCATGCCCTCATGCCCTCACGCCCTCATGCCCTCATGCCCTCATGCCCTCATGCCCTCATGCCCTCATGCACTCATGCCCTCATGCCCTCATGCCCTCATGCCCTCATGCCCTCATGCCCTCATGCCCTCATGCACTCATGCCCTCACGCCATCATGCCCTCATGCCCTCATGCAATCACGCCATCATGCCCTCATGCCCTCATGCCCTCATGCCCTCACGCCCTCATGCCCTCATGCCCTCACGCCCTCATGCCCTCATGCCCTCATGCCCTCATGCCCTCATGCCCTCATGCCCCCATGCCCTCATGAGCTCATGCCCTCATGCACTCATGCCCTCACGCCATCATGCCCTCATGCCCTCATGCACTCATGCCCTCATGCCCTCACGCCCTCATGCCCTCATGCCCTCATGCCCTCATGCCCTCATGCCCTCATGCCCTCATGCCCTCACGCCCTCATGCCCTCATGCCCTCATGCCCTCATGCCCTCATGCCCTCATGCCCTCATGCCCTCATGCCCTCACGCCCTCATGCCCTTATGCCCTCATGCCCTCATGCCCTCACGCCCTCATGCCCTCATGCCCTCACGCCCTGATGCCCTCATGCCCTCATAACCTCACGCCCTCATGCCCTCATGCCCTCATGCCCTCATCCTTTCATGCCCTCATGCCCTCATGCCCTCATGCCCTCATGCCCTCACGCCATCATGCCCTCATGCCCTCATGCCCTCATCCCCTCATGCCCTCATGCCCTCATGCCCTCACGCCCTCATGCCCTTATGCCCTCATGCCCTCATGCCCTCATGCCCTCACGCCCTCATGCCCTCATGCCCTCACGCCCTGATGCCCTCATGCCCTCATAACCTCACGCCCTCACGCCATCATGCCCTCATGCCCTCATCCTTTCATGCCCTCATGCCCTCATGCCCTTATGCCCTCATGCCCTCACGCCATCATGCCCTCATGCCCTCATGCCCTCATCCCCTCATGCCCTCATGCCTTCATGCCCTCATGCCCTCACGCCCTCACGCCCTCATGCCCTCATGCCCTCATGCCCTCATGCCCTCACGCCCTCATGCCCTCATGCCCTCATGCCCTCACGCCCTCATGCCCTCATGCCCTCACGCCCTCATGCCCTCACGCCCTCATGCCCTCATGCCCTCATGCCCTCATGCACTCATGCCCTCATGCCCTCATGCCCTCATGCCCTCATGCCCTCATGCACTCATGCCCTCACGCCATCATGCCCTCATGCCCTCATGCAATCACGCCATCATGCCCTCATGCCCTCATGCCCTCATGCCCTCATGCCCTCATGCCCTCATGCACTCATGCCCTCATGAGCTCATGCCCTCATGCACTCATGCCCTCACGCCATCATGCCCTCATGCCCTCATGCCCTCATGCCCTTATGCCCTCATGCCCTCATGCCCTCACGCCCTCACGCCCTCATGCCCTCATGCCCTCATGCCCTCACGCCCTCATGCCCTCATGCCCTCACGCCCTCACGCCCTCATGCCCTCACGCCCTCATGCCCTCATGCCCTCATGCTTTCCTGCCCTCATGTACTCATGCACTCATGCACTCATTCCTTCATGCCCTCACGCCCTCATGCCCTCATGCCCTCACGCCCTCATGCCCTCATGCCCTCATGCCCTCATGCCCTCATGCCCTCATGCACTCATGCCCTCATGCCCTCATGCCCTCATGCCCTCATGCCCTCATGCACTCATGCCCTCACGCCATCATGCCCTCATGCCCTCATGCAATCACGCCATCATGCCCTCATGCCCTCATGCCCTCATGCCCTCACGCCCTCATGCCCTCATGCCCTCATGCCCTCATGCCCTCATGCCCTCATGCCCTCATGCCCCCATGCCCTCATGAGCTCATGCCCTCATGCACTCATGCCCTCACGCCATCATGCCCTCATGCCCTCATGCCCTCATGCCCTCATGCCCTCATGCCCTCATGCCCTCATGCCCTCATGCCCTCACGCCCTCATGCCCTCATGCCCTCATGCCCTCATGCCCTCATGCCCTCATGCCCTCATGCCCTCATGCCCTCATGCCCTCACGCCCTTATGCCCTCATGCCCTCATGCCCTCATGCCCTCACGCCCTCATGCCCTCATGCCCTCACGCCCTGATGCCCTCATGCCCTCATAACCTCACGCCCTCATGCCCTCATGCCCTCATGCCCTCATCCTTTCATGCCCTCATGCCCTCATGCCCTCATGCCCTCACGCCCTCATGCCCTCACGCCATCATGCCCTCATGCCCTCATGCCCTCATCCCCTCATGCCCTCATGCCCTCATGCCCTTATGCCCTCATGCCCTCACGCCCTCATGCCCTCATGCCCTCATGCCCTCATGCCCTCATGCCCTCACGCCCTCATGCCCTCATGCCCTCATGCCCTCACGCCCTCATGCCCTCACGCCCTCATACCCTGACGAGTTCATGCCCTCATCCCCTCATGCCCTCATGCCCTCATGCCCTCATGCACTCATGCCCTCACGCCATCATGCCCTCATGCCCTCATGCAATCACGCCATCATGCCCTCATGCCCTCATGCCCTCATGCCCTCACGCCCTCATGCCCTCATGCCCTCACGCCCTCATGCCCTCAAGTTCACAAAGTAGTTCCACACAAGTACATTAGAGTAGCACTAAACCAGGTAGGAGGGAAGAGGAGGACGAGAGGGAAGGTCCCAAGGGAGTCACAACCAAAGAAACCCCATGCCACACCATTTCCCTCTCAATAGGCAACCCAACTTTAAATCTTGTCATTTTCCCAACCTCCCAAATCCACCTCACTCCCATTTGGCCACACTTGCCAACCTGGTTTGGCTTCACCCAACCACATGGCAGCATCTACAGTAATGGGTTCGAATTTACCAACCCCAAAAGGTCTGTACCCCATATAGATTCAACCCCACAACTTCCCATAGTTGCCACAACCAAAGTACAGAAAGCATACGAACTCCAATGTTCGCAACTTTCTTGATATAGCTCCGATCGCGACGATTCTTGGCTCGTCGAAAAGCTCTCGAGTAGATGAGTCACTTCAGGTATCTGCTCAGGCCAAATAACATTCACACACACTCAGAAAATCCAAACCGCGCAAAACACAAATTCTTGCACACGCTCACACAACGCATGCAACGCACAAACACATGATGGGAGGCAGACAGACGTGAATGCATATGATTGCATCACACAACAAACTCCCCCTCTGGCTGCCAACCATCATTCCACATGTCATAGCTCAAGCATGCACCCTCAATGCACACTCATCCCAGCAAGTTTCATTCACATCGAACACTTATCCCAATGGACAGTCATCTCCTTTCAACATCCCACTTCCAATATCTCCCTTTTGCTTTTCTCAAATCTGCAGCACCCCTCTATAGCCTCTCTCTAACGGCACTATCCTCCAAAGCCTCTGAATCCAGCCCCACAGCAATAGGCTATCTCATCCTCATCACACTTCTCAGTCACACTCCCAGCGGGTACCACACTTGGCTTCCCAAAGCTCGGGTAGGTAAGCCGGTTAGGAGGACGCACATCCCTCCTACGACGGTCAGCCACATGTTGCTGCTGCTGCTGCTGCGGCTGCTACTGCTGCTGCTGCTGCTGCTGCAGCTGCTGCTGCTGCTCCTCCACCTCAGGTTCTCCCCCATCCTCAGTCAACCCAGAAATCTCCTCCCCCGACACGGAGACTTCCACCTGCCTTGAAGGCCGCTGCACCTCATCGGCCTCAATGATCAGCGGTGTCGTAGGAAGCTTCTGCTGCTGCTGCTTCCACTCCTTGTAGTACAAGGACTCGAGGAACTTCACATCCCTCGACACAGTCAGCTGCTGGCTGGTCAAGTCCCAAATCAGCCAGCCCTTGTGATCCTTAGCAAGCCCCAAATGCACACCCCATCTCCCAGAAGCTTCCAGCTTTCCCCTCTTCTCCTTCGGCACATGAAACACCACCATGCAGCCGAACGCTCTCAGCATGTTGACTGCTGGTGCACTCCCATACCACTTGGTGTAGGGGATCCACTGCTTGTCCCCCATGGTCGCCAACACCCTGTTCTTCACAACAACGACCTGCCTCAGTGCAGTCACCCAAAACGGATCCGGCAGCCCTGCACGCCCAAGGAGAGTGCGAGCACCTTCCTGCAGGGTCCGGTTGAACCGCTCAGCCACGCCATTCTGTTGCGGGTTGTAGGGCACTGTGAGCTGATGCTGGATCCCCTTCCGCTTCAGCTCCTTCTCAAAATCAGCGCCAATGAACTCTCCCCCGTTGTCGGTGCGGATCACCTTCACCTTGTGTCCGCTCTCCCTTTGAGCTCTCGGCATCCACTCCTTGAGAACAGCCGCTGCCACCTCCCCCTTCGCCTTGAGAGGGTAGACCCACACCGCACGCGTGTGGTCGTCCACAATGGTCAGGAAATAGCGGCTGCCCGAGAGAGAAGGGGCCCTCGTAGGGCCCACCACATCCATGTGCACAAGCGCAAGTGGTGCCTTGGCTGGTCCCGTGCTGCTGCTGAAGGGGAACTTGGTGAATTTCGTCTCAAGGCACGTAGGGCAGCTCCCAATCTCCTTCGCTGCCCCCTTCACCTCCAGCCCCTTCAAACTCCCATCCTTCACCAACTTCTGCAGCATCGGAATGTTGATGTGGCACAACCTCTCGTGCCACGTCTCCCAATCGGCCTCACCACTCCTAGATGAAGCCTTCGCCCATGCAGCCGTTGCATCCACACCAGCAAGCACCTCACCATGTGATTGCTGTGGCTGCTGCACCTTCTTGACTGCATCCAGGGCCCCAGCAGTTGGTGCAGTCTCCTCTCCTCCCGCAGTTGCCTTAGCCGCTGCCGCTGCCTTTGCCGTTGCTGGTGGTTTCCCATTCCAAGGGATGATGGGCAGCTGCCACAGGTCCTTGATGCAGCTGCTCTTCTCCTCCAAATCCCACAGCAGCAACTTCCCAAGCTTCGCACGGCAGCTGGTTGGGCCGAACGTAACTTTGGCCTTGCTTTTCTGCAGCCGGCGCACAGAGAGGAGGTTAGCGGATAAACCTTCAACAAGTAGGACATTCCCAAGTCCCACAAGTCCCCCATTGGCTCCCATCACCTTAGCATTCCCAACACCAATCACAGGGAGCAAAGCACCTGAAGCGGCAGCCACAAACTTGATCTTCCCGGGGGGTTTCACCTCATCAAGCAAATCTGCCCGCGGAGTCATGTGACTCGTGCAACCTGAATCAATCACCCAGTGAGTGAGGGGGTGCATCACAACCTTCCCAACTGAACCCACATCATCCTCACTCTCTTTCACATCCTCAACCATGAGGAACATCCCAGGGTCGGCTTTACCTTGTGCACCATCACCTTGTGCACCTGAACCTTGCACAGCGCCACCTCGCGCGCGTTCACCACTTGGCGGCTTCATGCCTGGGGGCGCCCATCCCTCAGGCCGGCTGAAACACTTGAACCACGGGTGTCCAGCCTTCTTGCAGTACCAGCACGCACCCTCCATTCGGGTGCTCCCCCTGCCACCAGAGCTCCCATGCCCTTCATTGTAGTCACCTCGGCCTCTTCCTCTGCCAAAGCCTCTCCCACGGCCTCGGCCTCTCCCTCCCCCTCTTCCTCTGCTGCCTCCTGCAGCTCCATACCCCTCAGCAGTCTTGTTGGCAGCACCACCTCCCGTGTGGCGCCTGCGGAAGTCCTCCTGCAGGATCTGCTGCCGTAGCCACTCAGGCGTCCACTTGTCCTGCTGAACATTGAGGGTGGGGATGAGGTTGTCCCACGAGTTGTCGAGCACCGAGATGATCTTGGTGCACTGCTGCATCTCCGACACCTTGCTGCCCGCCGCTGCCATCCTCGCATAAGTGTCCTTGATCTTGTCAAGCACCGGCTTCACATCGTCTCCCGGCCGCATGGAGAGGGCAGCCAGCTCCTTCTCCAATACGATCACCATCGGCAGCGTGTTGGGTTGTACCACGTCGCGTAGCAGCTTCCACGCCTTCGGTCCGGAGTCGTCCAGCTCCACCAAATATTTGATATGCTGGAACATATCGTTGTTGACCGACTGTAGGATGAGGTCGTACAGCACCGTGCTCCGCTCAATCCACCGGTCGCGGGCACCACCTTTCTTAGGGATCTTCTCTTCTCCCATCGCAAGTTTCAGCAGCTTGTAGCGCTTGAAAGCGCTCCGCATCCGCCCACTCCATTCCTCATAATTGGAGCCATCCAAAGCTTCGATCTTGGATGGTGGCGGTTCAGTCTTCTTCTCGGCAGCTTCTCGACCCCCTTGACTCATCTCCTCTGCTCCCAATCAGAGGTTTCAGCTCCCCCTTTTGCTGTCCACACCGAAGTCCCACACAATTTTCACAAGTGTCGGCGCCAACGAAATTTCGGCAGAGTTTTCCCTTAGCGGAAGTCACTCCCAACCTCCAGAGCTCCACTTAGGCACGCCCACAGGCCATGGTGGGTCTAGGAGGGTCTTCACATTTCAGTAGAATCTTCACAACGTCCTCAATCAGCTCTGATACCACTTGTTAGAGATTAAGGACGGAGTCTATGAAGATTAGGAGCCGAAATTTCACAAAATCGTTGGTCCTAGTTTCTGGACAGAAATGTCGACTTCACAAGAAACGTTGTCGACGAAACGTTCACTGTTAGAATCTCACGAAAACCGAGTATGTTGGAGCTCTAGATTGTGGCTACAATTCCCAATTTGAATCACCTCACAAGATGGAGTAAATCGCGAGATATCGATTTCAGCGCACTAGGGGCTATGCTGCCATAGAAGATTAACTCAATCACAATTAACTCACAAGTTCTCACAAGTTCACAAAGTAGTTCCACAAAGAACATTAGAGTAGCACTAAACCAGGTAGGAGGGAAGAGGAGGACGAGAGGGAAGGTCCCAAGGGAGTCCCCAACCAAAGAAACCCCATGCCACACCATTTCCCTCTCAATAGGAAACCCAACTTTCAATCTTGTCATTTTCCCAACCTCCCAAATCCACCTCACTCCCACTTGGCCACACTTGCCAACCTGGTTTGGCTTCACCCAACCACATGGCAGCATCTACAGTAATGGGTTCGAATTTACCAACCCCAAAAGGTCTGTACCCCATATAGATTCAACCCCACAACTTCCCATAGTTGCCACAACCAAAGTACAGAAAGCATACGAACTCCAATGTTCGCAACTTTCTTGATATAGCTCCGATCGCGACGATTCTTGGCTCGTCGAAAAGCTCTCGAGTAGATGAGTCACTTCAGGTATCTGCTCAGGCCAAATAACATTCGCACGCACTCAGGAAATCCAAACCGCGCAAAACACAAATTCTTGCACACGCTCACACAACGCATGCAACGCACAAACACATGATGGGAGGCAGACAGACGTGAATGCATATGATTGCATCACACAACACTCATGCCCTCATGCCCTCCTGCCCTTATGTACTTATGCAATCATGCACTCATGCCCTCATGCCCTCATGCCCTCATGCCCTCATGCCCTCATGCTCTCATGCCCTCACGCCATCATGCCCTCATGCCCTCATGCACTCATGCCCTCATGCCCTCATGCCCTCATGCCCTCATGCCCTCATGCCCTCATGCCCTCACGCCCTCATGCCCTCATGCCCTCATGCCCTCATGCCCTCATGCCCTCATGCCCTCATGCCCTCACGCCCTCATGCCCTCATGCCCTCATGCCCTCATGCCCTCACGCCCTCATGCCCTCATGCCCTCATGCCCTCATCCCCTCATGCCCTCATGCCCTCATCCCCTCATGCCCTCACGCCCTCATGCCCTCATGCCCTCACGCCCTTATGCCCTCATGCCCTCATGCCCTCATCCCCTCATGCCCTCATGCCCTCATGCCCTCATGCCCTCACGCCCTCACGCCGCATGCCCTCACGCCCTCATGCCCTCATGCCCTCATGCCCTCATGCCCTCATGCACTCATGCCCTCATGCCCTCATGCCCTCATCCCCTCATGCCCTCATGCCCTCATGCCCTCATGCCCTCACGCCCTCATGCCCTCATGCCCTCACGCCCTCATGCCCTCATGCCCTCATGCCCTCATGCCCTCATGCCCTCATGCCCTCATGCCCTCATGCCCTCATGCCCTCACGCCCTCATGCCCTCATGCCCTCATGCCCTCACGTACTCATGCCCTCATGCCCTCATGCCCTCATCCCCTCATGCCCTCATGCCCTCATGCCCTCATGCCCTCACGCCCTCATGCCCTCACGCCCTCATGCCCTCACGCCCTCATGCCCTCATGCCCTCATGCCCTCACGCCCTCATGCCCTCATCCCCTCATGCCCTCATGCCCTCATGCCCTCACGCCCTCATGCCCTCATGCCCTCATGCCCTCACGCCCTCATGCCCTCATGCCCTCATGCCCTCATGCCTTCATGCCCTCATGCCCTCATGCCCTCACGCCCTCATGCCCTCATGCCCTCATGCCCTCACGCCCTCATGCCCTCATGCCCTCATGCCCTCACGCCCTCATGCCCTCATGCCCTCATCCCCTCATGCCCTCATGCCCTCATGCCCTCATGCCCTCATGCCCTCATGCACTCATGCCCTCATGCCCTCATGCCCTCACGCCCTCATGCCCTCACGCCCTCATGCCCTCATGCCCTCATGCCCTCATGCCCTCATGCCCTCCTGCCGTCATGTACGTATGCACTCATGCAGTCATGCCCTCATGCACTCATGCCCTCATGCCCTCATGCCTTCATGCCCTCATTCCCTCATGCAGTCATGCCCTCACGCCCTCACGCCATCATGCCCTCATGCCCTCATGCACTCATGCCCTCATGCCCTCACGCCCTCATGCCCTCATGCCCTCACACCCTCATGCCCTCATGCCCTCATGCCCTCACGCCCTCATGCCCTCATGCCCTCATGCCCTCATCCCCTCATGAACTCATGCCCTCATGCCTTCATGCCCTCATGCCCTCATGCCCTCATGCCCTCATGCACTCATGCCCTCACGCCATCATAACCTCATGCCCTCATGCACTCATGCCCTCATGCCCTCATGCCCTCATGCCCTCACGCCCTCATGCCCTCATGCCCTCATGCCCTCATGCCCTCATGCCCTCATGCCCTCATCCCCTCATGCCCTCATGCCCTCATGCCCTCATGCCCTCACGCCCTCATGCCCTCATGCCCTCACGCCCTCACGCCCTCATGCCCTCATGCCCTCATGCCCTCATGCCCTCACGCCCTCATGCCCTCATGCCCTCATGCCCTCACGCCCTCATGCCCTCATGCCCTCATGCCCTCATCCCCTCATGCCCTCATGCCCTCATGCCCTCATGCCCTCATGCCCTCACGCCCTCATGCCCTCATGCCCTCATGCCCTCATGCCCTCATGCCCTCACGCCCTCATGCCCTCATGCCCTCATGCCCTCATGCACTCATGCCCTCACGCCATCATGCCCTCACGCCCTCATGCCCTCACGCCCTCATGCCCTCATGCCCTCACGCCGTCAGGCCCTCATGCCCTCATGCCCTCATGCCCTCATGCCCTCACGCCCTCATGCCCTCATGCCCTCATGCCCTCATGCCCTCACGCCCTCATGCCCTCATGCCCTCATGCCCTCATCCCCTCATGCCCTCATGCCCTCATGCCCTCATGCCCTCATGCCCTCACGCGTTCATGCCCTCATGCCCTCATGCCCTCATGCCCTCACGCCCTCATGCCCTCATGCCCTCATGCCCTCATGCACTCATGCCCTCACGCCATCATGCCCTCACGCCCTCATGCCCTCACGCCCTCATGCCCTCATGCCCTCACGCCGTCAGGCCCTCATGCCCTCATGCCCTCATGCCCTCATGCCCTCACGCCCTCATGCCCTCATGCCCTCATGCCCTCATGCCCTCACGCCCTCATGCCCTCATGCCCTTATGCCCTCATGCCCTCATCCCCTCATGCCCTCATGCCCTCATGCCCTCATGCCCTCATGCACTCATGCCCTCACGCCATCATGCCCTCACGCCCTCATGCCCTCACGCCCTCATGCCCTCATGCCCTCACGCCGTCAGGCCCTCATGCCCTCATGCCCTCACGCCCTCATGCCCTCATGCCCTCACGCCCTCACGCCCTCATGCCCTCATGCCCTCATGCCCTCATGCCCTCATCCCCTCATGCCCTCATGCCCTCATGCCCTCATGCCCTCACGCCCTCATGCCCTCATGCCCTCACGCCCTCACGCCCTCATGCCCTCATGCCCTCATGCCCTCATGCCCTCATGCCCTCACGCCCTCATGCCCTCATGCCCTCATGCCCTCACGCCCTCATGCCCTCATGCCCTCATGCCCTCATCCCCTCATGCCCTCATGCCCTCATGCCCTCATGCCCTCATGCCCTCACGCCCTCATGCCCTCATGCCCTCATGCCCTCATGCCCTCATGCCCTCACGCCCTCATGCCCTCATGCCCTCATGCCCTCATGCACTCATGCCCTCACGCCATCATGCCCTCACGCCCTCATGCCCTCACGCCCTCATGCCCTCATGCCCTCATGCCCTCACGCCCTCATGCCCTCATGCCCTCATGCCCTCATCCCCTCATGCCCTCATGCCCTCATGCCCTCATGCCCTCATGCCCTCACGCCCTCATGCCCTCATGCCCTCATGCCCTCATGCCCTCATGCCCTCACGCCCTCATGCCCTCATGCCCTCATGCCCTCATGCACTCATGCCCTCACGCCATCATGCCCTCACGCCCTCATGCCCTCACGCCCTCATGCCCTCATGCCCTCACGCCGTCAGGCCCTCATGCCCTCATGCCCTCACGCCCTCATGCCCTCATGCCCTCACGCCCTCACGCCCTCATGCCCTCATGCCCTCATGCCCTCATGCCCTCATCCCCTCATGCCCTCATGCCCTCATGCCCTCATGCCCTCACGCCCTCATGCCCTCATGCCCTCACGCCCTCACGCCCTCATGCCCTCATGCCCTCATGCCCTCATGCCCTCACGCCCTCATGCCCTCATGCCCTCATGCCCTCACGCCCTCATGCCCTCATGCCCTCATGCCCTCATCCCCTCATGCCCTCATGCCCTCATGCCCTCATGCCCTCATGCCCTCACGCCCTCATGCCCTCATGCCCTCATGCCCTCATGCCCTCATGCCCTCATGCCCTCACGCCCTCATGCCCTCATGCCCTCATCCCCTCATGC